ACCAAACCATTCTATCATTCATCCTCAGCTTTTACTTAGCTATTTACATTACAACATCCACGTCACAAAATTGTAGTGTACGCAGCAAACTAGCAACGAGTACATTGCGCAAACTGCACATAATTTATTGTTTCAATGTTTGTTGGGAGTCCTTTTATGGTTGTTGTAATGTTGCCACCTACAGCTTGAGATAAACTACTTAAACATGGCACTTCTTTCCTTTAAGTTATATGCTTTTATATTAACCTGCTCATTTAAATCAAACTGAAATGTTATCACCAATAAAAGGGAAATGAACAGTTGCATGTTTTTTTTTTCTTTTATTAACAACTTAATGTTGAATAAACAAATGTGAGAAATTGTTCAATTGTTTATGTTAAAAAAAACCCAATATAAATAAAACCTAATTCTGTGCCTCTCTAGATATTTTATGTTCTCTAATAACTTACACTTTAACATTTGTAGTTTATTCTTCATGTACTGCAGATTACAGATTTTATACATCCTGCCAGCAAACAATCATGTTTCTATGATGAAGAACCAGACATTTCTCCCAGGATTCACATAATGGAGACAAAAGAAGAGCTTAAAGGTCTGTGAATGCTTATTTTCGCCAGCTAGCCAGAAACAATGAAATGTTGCTGTGTCTTTGTGTCATTACTGCTGATGTGTCAGTTAAGCTAGCTGGCTGTTAATGTGGTGGTAATTTATTTGTAGTTGTATCATGTCAGTTATGAGCTGAATGAGCTGCAGCAACCCCTAAAATCAGGCATAATGAAAACTATTAGTTTATAAAATGTTTAAACATACTGGGATTGCATACACACTGGTACTTATGGCAGGAATTTGGTTTTATTTTGTTTCTTAACTATTTTATTCGCTAAAAAGTTCTACAATTAGTAGTAATATTTGCTGTTAATAACTATTAAGTAGGCTATACATTATTCTGCCTATTCAAATGAATGCAAAAACCATGAATGTCATGCATTTAGCATTAAGTATGATGCCATATAGACAGACTTTCTCTCAGCACCCCCAAAACTCTGACTGACTTCCAGCATCCCTGGAAGTTAAATATCACTACTTTCACATTTGTTGGTGGACTGACAGTGAAATATTACATTTTACTTTTAATTGTAGCAGCTCTAGCAGCGTGGCTCTATGGACGGTCAGTCCCAACACTCCATAGTGAAATATTGCGACGCAGATTCATTGTCATGAAATTTGCTACAGCTTAATACTATAATGACTTTGGTGATCCCTGGACCTGAAAGCGCCACAGAAAAGTAATTCTTTCCCCCACTTTTTTCCACCAGTTTAGTAGCATACTAACATACTTACGACAGGGCCTGACAAGTTGTGTTTAAGATGTCCTTTAAAAAACAATTACAGTGCAAGTAGAGCAACAAAGGTCCCAGGCCAGATACAAACCAGGGACGTTGTGGCTCATGGCTTAACAACATGGCTTATTTTCTTTACCTCACTAGGTAGGGTCTGTAAGGCCCTTCACTCATGATCAGAGATATGAACTGTGCTCACAGCCTGGGGAAGCACAGAGCATAGTGTAGAGGCAAGTCTACATTACAAACGTGTGACGGGTTACAAGAAATAGTTTAATATTTTAAGTATAAATTTGGGTTGGTTGGTCAGACAGCTGTAGTCTTGATTAAATCCAGATAGGTATAAGATTTCAGTTGCACACTCCCCAAATATAGTGCTGATGTGAGGTTCAGTGTCTTTGAAAACAATGGCATGTGTAGTAATATTAATAATGATAATAATAATATCTTTATGACCTTGGGGGTTTCATGTGTTAGTCTTCTTGTAAGAAATCACACCGTGTAACAGTTGGTAGGGCATGGACATGAGTATGAATATTATTCGTCTTCGTCAGTATCCTCAATAAATGAACACAAGTATGCACACTCCACCCACATGTCAAACTAAAGGTCAGATCACTTGAACCCTTTTTGTCATTAGTCATGTGCTAACAGCATGTTAGAGGCAATATGAAGTTGCTGAGTCATAAATTCCTGAATCAACAAAATGAGGCGTGTTGTGTTGGGCAGGAATATCCTGCACTGATTTTGTAACATTGGTGGTTTCTCATATGATGTAACAGCAAGGAAAGTGGAGATGTATACGCTAATTGTTGAGCAAAATTCTGAACGCAGTTGTGTATTATGTATTACAAAATAGAATTTATTACATACATGACATAAACACATCATATCATTTTGTACAAACATAGGAATGAGCACAACAGCGTGAAACATAGATGTTGTAAACTGAATGGAAAAGTCTGAAATGTTGGTAATGCAACATGAGTGAAATGGTCAAATTCAACCTGTGCTTTAGTTCACTTAATGAGAGCTACTCCTTCCCTTCTTTTCCATCTGTTTTCATATCTTGTATTTCATGAGAATAATATACTGAGCTTATATCAGGAGAAACATCCGACAAGTTTAAGCTTCAGGATCTCGGAGTTGAGCACCAGGTCCAGAGGCAGGTGAATGGCGTAACAGCCCTGGTGAGCAGAACATGGTAGGCCTGTCGAAACTGCCGGTTCATAACAGCATAGAGCATGGGGTTGATACAGCTGTTGAGCCAGGTGAGGTTCGCACAGAACATGTGCAGTACCTGCGGGGCGCGGTTATGTTTGTCGGCTATGTTGAGCAACAGGAAGGGGACAAAGCAGAACACGAAGCACAGAAAAACAGTAAAGCACATTCGTGTCACACGCTTAAATTCACCGTCGTCTCCTGAAGTTGCTGAGTGGGCGGTGGACGCTGCAGTGGTGGGAGCAGGTGTAGGTAAAGGTGATGTAGGGATGATATCAGGGGAAGACTTGCTGGCTGCTGAGGAATTTGAAGCCTTGGCAGAGTTCTTTTCACAGGCGATTTCATCCTTATTTTGGGCTAGATCCGCCTGGCTGCTTATCTCACAGCTACATGTGTTGGCCATACCACTCTCCACACCACTGTCATCAGTCCCTTGTGTGGAAGAAGCTGGTTTCTTTCTGGAGGACCGGCGGCTGAACCTGTAGCGAAGCAGAGCTTGCGAGGCAATCTTGACACGTCTGTAAATGAGGAGGTAGAAAGCACCCACACACCCCAGACCGACAAAAAAGTAGAAAAAGAGCAGGATGGTGGTGTAGGGACGGCCCCTGGTACGATGGAAGCTGCACGTGCACACGTTTGGCACGAACACATAAACACGCCATAGTGGGCCGAAGCTGGCCA